TACACACACACACACACACAGCTCTCTACAACCCTCACCTCTTCCTGATTTCTGTCTCTCCAGCCCTTCAGAATCCCAACCCAGCACCTTCTGAGCCATCCCAGCCTGAGGCACACCAACCGCAGGCTAGCTACATCATCTTCCCTTGTGGCTCCTCGCTTACAGCACATGCTCGTGAAGTCTGGCAGAGCTGACCAGGGCTCATCCTGAACTGTAGGGCAGGTAGAGAATGGGAAGAGAGAAAGTGCAAGGTGTTCCAAGAGTTGTAACTCAGCCAGGCATTTTCCTCATTCTTTGTCATTAGCTCACGCCTTTCCTGATTTGCTCATATCTCCACAGAGCATTTGAAAGGAGTACCACCTAGAACACTTGATTTAGTGTGTGCATGTACACCCCCCCAACACACACACACCAAACCACCACAGACAAGCATTTCTAGAGCTCTCTGACCACCCTGCCTAATGGGTGAGCCTCACTAGTCAGTGAGAGTGCTGGAGAGAAGGTTCATTAGGTAAGAGCTGCTCTTGCAGAGAATCTGAGTTTAGTTCCCAACACCCAGGTCAGACTGCTCAAAGCCACCTGTAACTTCAGCACCAGAGGATCTAACACTATATGCATAATCAAAAATAAAGAAAAATAGCATTTTTTTAAAAACTACAAGGTGGATATCTCAGGAGGAAGAATGACACCTAAGTTCCTGCTAGTCTCCACATGTGCACACATGTACCACAGGTACACATGCATCCACATGGAACCACAAACACATACACACACCTGTGTACATACATGCAAAATTCTCTCAGGATATAACTTGATAATGTACATTAAAAGAAAATAATAGTTTAAGAAAAAAAGCAAATAAATGGTCCTGCTTTGTGCTCACAGATCTGAGGTGAGGCCCATTCTAATGTCAGATAGAACCTCTAGCAAAGTACCCATTGATGTTGGGAGCATATATGGGGTGTGACTACTTGTGTCATGTTCCAGGTGGCAAAGACAGGAAGCCCCTTCTAGAGGTAAGCCCCGCAGTGACCTGAGGACCTCTCTGTAGTCTCCCCTTCCTGAAGGTTCTGCTACCTCCCAAGAGTACGTGAGCATCAGTGGAAGAAGGAAGCATTCAAAGAACATGAAGGAGAAAGATGTTCTGTGACTGGAAGTGAGGTCTGAGCAGACTCATGCAGAAGGGGTGTAAGAACAAGGATCGGACGGTGGGGACCAGAGAACTGAAGGAGCTAAGGGTACACTCAGTTTTAGCTGTCATAGACTTGGGACTCAGACAGACATACAAAAAGGAGGAGAGGCAAAGACAGCAGTGGATCCCAGAGCTCCTCGATGCCAGGCATGGTGGCGTGGGACCCTAAAGGCTTTTCCAGTCCCACACCCTCCTTACAGCTTCCCTTTCCTACCTGGTGTCAAGGCTAGGGCAAGGTCTATTCTCCACCCACAAGAACATTCTTGAATAAAAAATTCTCAGAAAAATGCAGAATGAACTGACTAATAGTCACCTGACCCTCTGGAAAGTCCCAGGTAGAGTTCAAATGAGTGTCATGATCTACCCATGCTTGCTAGCCAATAGATTTAAAGATCGATCAATATGCTTAGCCAATAAGTTTGAACTATAACCTTGCTGATGTAACCTGTGCCCCTAAAAAGTATAAAAAATGCTTGTGATAGCCATTCAGGGTCACCTTCTAGTCACTCACCTTGAGGAACTAATTAAAGGTCGATTCCAATGTACCAGAAAATAAACCTCTTGCTCTTGTATCGAAAGTAAGTACCACTGACCGAGGGTCAGGGTCTTATATTGGCCCACATCTGTATAATCCCAGGACTAGGGAGGCTGAGGTAAGAAGATCCCAAGTTTAAACCTAGCAGGAGCTTCATAGAAAAACCCTGATTCAGGAAAACAAATGTTCTCAAGGAAGGGGAAGGTTTGTAGAGGAGAGTTGCCACCCTCTGACTGGCTTCACCTGCCCATCACCATTATCTGGAAGTCACTGAAACAAGTCCCCACTGCACAACAGACTTGCTTTCTTGTTCATTCATGCTCCCACTCACTCCATAGCAGCTACTCAGGGTCTACAAAAGCTAAAGAACTGTGCTACAAAAGTACTGTGCTAAAAACCCAGGGACCCAAAGAGTTTGTGATTTGACGGAACTTCCCACTCTTGACATTTACACACTGTTATTTTGACCCTCTGGGGACAAGGAAAGGAGAGCAAAAAGCGGCTATGCTAATATAGGACCACTAAAAATCAAAGCCCCTCACCACATTCACTGTCTGAAGTGCTTGAAGAAAGCTGAGGAATTCGGCAGGGTGCTCCTTATGAGTCGGCATGACACAGAGCTTCCTCCACCCAGGGTGGCTCTCACTGTGCAGGAAGCCAGGAAGATGTGTAGTACTACAATGCCTTGGTTGTCATTGACTACATCTGCAATTAACTAAAATGCAAATGGCTGGGACACCCGTGAGGGATTTTTTTTCTCAATTAAATAATTTGAAGTGCTCTCACTTTTAATCTGGATCTTTGAAGTGGGAAGATCCACCTTTAATCTGGGCCACACCTTCTGCCCCGCCTATATAAAGGACATGGAAGAAGGCAGCTTGCTCTGAATGGCAAGCCTATACCTTCACTGGTATTGCAGTCTACTGCTTCAGAATTCTGTTGTATACAGAAGACTAGCTGAGACAGAAGAGTCACATGAACTGAACAACTACTGTATGGTAAGACTCTCTGTTGGTAGACAGCCATCAGTGGAGTGGCTGAACCACAGCCTATAAGCTATTCTAATAAATTCCCTTTATGCATATATAGTCTAGTGTGTGTGTGTGTGTGTGTGTGTGTGTGTGTGTGTGTGTGTATTCCTGACTAATAAAACTACCATGATGAGTACTAACTATCAGCTTGACAGAAGTTAGAGTCACCTGAGTAATGGGCCTCATGTCTATGGGGAATTATCTTTCTTTTTTAAGATTCATTTATTTATTTATTTTATATATTTGTGAATACACTGTAGCTGTCTTCAGACACACCAGAAGAGGGCATCGGATCCTATTACAGATGGTTGTGAGCCACCATGTAGTTGCTGGGAATTGAACTCAGGACCTCTGGAAGAGCAGTCAGTGCTCTTAACCACTGAGCCATCTCTCCAGCCCCAGGAATTATCTTGATTACATTTATGGAAGGAGACCTGCCCACTGTAGGTGGCACCATTCCCTAGTAAGGAGATTTGAACTATATTAAGAGCTAAGAAGCTGGTCCAGTGAGATGGCTCAGCTAGTAGACATACTTGCCTCTAAGCCTAATGACCAGATACACATTGGAAGGAGAGAACTGACTCCCACAAGTTCCCTTCTGAGCTTAACATGTGTACTGTGTGTGACATGTGTACATGTGTGCACAAATACAAACACATACAATGTAAATTAATACAGTGTAATAATTTTTTAAACGTATCAGGAAACTGAGCTGAATACTTGAAAACATGCATTCATCACCCTGATTCCTGACTGTGGATGTGATAAGACCTATGAGCTTTTAAGATGCTGCTACCCTGACTCCCTGCCATGGTGGACTACACCCTGAACTGTGAGCTAAAATAGACTCTTTCTTCCTCACATTGTTTTGTCAGAGTGTTTTATCATAGCAACAGGAAAAGAAACTAAGACAGTGTGGATGTCAATCTATTTGCTCAGAGTCCTTTTCTTTACAACAGCTGGGGCAACTCAATGAAGAGAAAGGTCCTGGGCCGTGACACCTTCCCCAAGTGCTCACCGATGTGGGGTGGGTGGGATGCCCCTTCACACCAGGCATCTGGACCCTCTAACTGTTCTTCACTTTACCCTCTCTGTCCCTGGCCCTCTGGGACCTCTTAATCTGTTTACCGCTGTCATTCAGAAATGTTTGGGGTCACCTCTGCCTCCAGGGAGGCCTGGGAAGACTTCTCAAGGGTCCCATGCCCCAAGAGCCGGCTATTCTCTGAATCCGAGTTAGCCCCGCAAGTTTAAGCAACAAGTCTAAAGATTAACATTAATCCCTCTAACAGGCGGGACTGCGCACAGTTTATTTTTATTTTGCATCTATACATCTTAAAGAATTTCCTGAAATAATCATGGATTCCACTAGTAGGAAGGAAAGAAAACTTTTTGCTTGTTTGTTTGTTTTTGTTTTGGAGACAGGATTTCTCTGTGTAGCCCTGGCTGTCCTGGAACTTGCTCTGTAGACCAGGCTGTCCTCGAACTCACAGAGATCTGCCTGCCTCTCCTTCCAAGTGCTGGGGTTAAAAGTGGGCGCCACCACAACCCAGCTTCTGTTTTTATTTTCTGTTTTTGTTTTTTGAGAAAACAGTCTTAAGGACTGCTTTAAAAAAAAAATGTCTGAAGCTGAGAACAGGGCTCACTGCACAGCATGTTCAATCCCGGAGCAGAAAAATAACCCTGTAATTGACACCTTCATAACCTCAGGAAAGCCTGCCAGTTTGCCTCCAGCCTCTCACTCTGCCTCGTCTACATGCTGCAATGCTGCCCCTGTTTCTTCTTTCTTCCACTTAGCAGCACAGGCCTCAGAGCTATAATCCCATCCCAATAACTCTGGCCATCAGCATCACTTCAGAAAAGGCTGGAAGCCAGAGCCTTCTTGCTGCCCCAAGGCAAACAGTTCAGGAAGGAAGCTGGAGTTGAAAAAGAGTGATTGTGTATCTTCACGTGAGAGCTAAACCTTATCAAAATAAAAGCAGGGTCACAGTAGTCCACGTCCCCCAGATGTAGACCCAAGGGATTTCACAGACCCTTCAGACTGGCTCTCCCAACCCACAGTTCCCGTGAGGTAGTCCGGTTCATTCTCCAGCTCACCCCAGGATGGCAGAGGATTGGGCACAGGAACACAGATTGCCTGAGAGGCCTCCAGGCGTTACTTCACTCTGATGCTTGCCCTATGGTCCTGAGGGTGTGGTATGACAGGCAGCAGAATTGACAGTTGAGAACAAGCGAGACCTCAGGATGCAGCCAGCCAAAGTGCTTTGCTGTAGGGAGCTGGGCTATTTCCGTCTTGCCCTAGTTAGGGGCTCTTCTCCCAGTGCTGTTTCATAATCACAGGTCCTTTGACATTTTGTGATGTGACATCCTTGGAACACAGCCGAAAATAACCTTGGTTTTTTCCCCCATGCTTTGGGAGCCTTCAGGATGCAGTAGGGTGAGGCACTAAAGCCTGTAGCTGTAGAGATCCTGACGTCACCACTGCCACTTGTCTTAACAGCAGCTACATCTGCTGCTTGGCACACAGGATAGGTTGGAAGAATGTCTCAACATTCTCCATAAGGACGAGGTCATACCGACACAAGTGAGGCCTGGGGAAACCAAAGAGCCTCGTCAGTGAGCTATCACAAACCTCCCAGTCTAGTCAGGTAAGCTTCATCACCTCCTCACAGTATGGACTTGTAGAGCAGCTGTTTCTAATGCAATGGCAAATGGCTCCTGTGGTGATTTGAATAAGCTCAGCCCAAAGGGAGTGGCACTATTAGGAGGTGTGGTCTTGTTTAAGTAGGTGTGGCTTTGTTGGAAAGATGTGTCACTGTGTAGGTGGGCTCAATGCCCAAGCTCCACCCAGTTCAAATCACTCTCAGCACCAGTGTCTTCCATAGTCCTACCAGGATGGCCCATTAAGCCCCAGTTAAAGCATTCCATTGCTTCCCAAATCTGAAGCTCCAAAATTCACATTCCTCCAAACAAAAACATGGTCAGGCCTATCAAAGCAATACCTCAGTCCCTGGTACCAACTTCTATCTTAGTTAAGGTTTCATTGCTGTGAAGAGACACCATGACCAAGGCAACTCTTATAAAGGACAACATTTAATTGGGTTGGCTTACAGTTTTAGAGGTTCAGTCCATCATCATGACATGAAGCATAGTAGCATGCAGGTAGACATGGTGCTGGAGGAGCTGAGAGTTCTACATCTTGATCTTAAAGCAGTCAAGAGGAGACTCTGTCTTCCTCAGGCAGCCAGGAGGAGGCTCTCTTCTGCACTCAGTGGAACTTAAGCATAGGATCTTAAAGCCCACCCCACAGTGACATACCTCCTCCAATAAGGCCACATGTCCTAATAGTGCCACTTCCCATGGGCGAAGCATATTCAAATCTCCACAGCTAGGGAAGGCAGTCACACACAAGGAAGTAGGGTGTGAAATCCGACTCAATTCTACTCCACTCCCTTGTTAAAGATTTATTTTACTTTACGTGTACGAGTGTTCTGCCTGCATGTGTGTATGTATACCTGGTGTATGCCTGGCCCTGTGCAGGTCAGATGAGGGCATCAGGTTCCTGTACAGCTGGAGTTTCTAGATGGTTGTAAGGCACTGTGTATGCACTAGGAATCTAATCCAGGTTCTCTACCTGACTCTGGATCCTCCTGTCTGTATTTTGCCAGTGCTAGGACTGTAAATCACTACACTCTGGTTCTTCCTTTTTTGTTTTTTAAATGTGGTCTGGATAAGTTTCCCAGGTTTGTCTTGAACTCATGTAGACTCTTCAGTTCTTAAACCTTTGATTCTCCCCCTCAGCTTCCAGACCAACTAGAAATACAGGTGTGTACCACCAGGCCCAGCAATAAATAAATAATCAATCAATTAATTAAAAGCTCCTGATTTAAGATATAGTGAATACCTTCTTAAAGAATCTTGTATTACTAAATATTTTTGCAGTACCCTAAATTTTTAAGTAAAAGAAATTCATCACTTTGGAGGCTGAGGCAGGAGAATTGTCACAGGTTTGAGGCCAGCCTGGGCTACCTTGTAAGACTGTATCTCAGAAAGAAAAAAAGGGGGGGGCTAGAGAAGGAAAGGAGGGAGGCAACAGGAGCCTGTCAGAGCTGCCTGTGACTCACCTGTCTGGATGGGCTAGGGACCGCAGCTTCACCCGCAGAACCCTGAGCTTGTACTTTGGACCCACCACAGACCTTGTGGAGAACAACAAGGAAATTTCTGCCACTTTATCCAGATCTCGATTAAATCTTGCAAGGAGGCTCACTTGGTGGTACTTCTGGAATGCAGACGGCTCACTGGAAGGAAGAAATGACATTTTAAAATGAATATATAGAATGTAAGATGAATATATATATATTCATCTAAAATGAATATGATATAGGTTGCTAATGAAAGAAAGCGGCTTCCAGCCTCCAGGACTGGTCCCTTTGCATACCCAAGCTGACTTTCATGAGCAAAGGTCCCTGACTCCATAGGACTGCCTAAACGAAGCTACTGACCTGCAAAATGGCACTTCAGACATGTGCTACTGTGACTATTTACTGTGTTCAAGATAGTGTCCGTGTCTCTGGGCACATTGCCACAGCTGCTATGGGATCCAAGTTCTCCATGAGGTAGGGTTTGTATGCAGCAGTTCAGTGACAAAGCCAGCTCAGAGCTCTTAGGGCCCTGCCACACCCCATGAAGCCTTAGGTGATGTTCCAGTGGGGCTGGGGTAGCAAACACCCGTGGAACCCCCTAAGCCCAATCTGAGGTCTACGTCTGTAGCCAATCCACTGCCCCAAACCCAGGTCCTTGTCGGTTATCTGTGGCTTCCTTTCCCAGCTTGGCAGAGAAACAAAAACAGTGCAGAGACTCCCCAGAGAGAGGCGCCTGAGCATCACTGGAGTCTCAGGTTGTGATGCACTGGATGTTGCCAACAAAATTGGGATCATCTAAATTAAGTCCAGCTGCAAATTCAATTACTATTTTTTTAAAAAATGAAATGGCAAAGAACGTGCATTGAAGACGTCAGGGCTCCAACGTTCTCTCCTCTTCCCCGTCTCGTAATACCGGATCGAACTGGGAGAGCAACTTGATCAACGGCAGAGGGTTTACATGAATGAACCATAGTTCTTATCATTCAGTCTGCCTCAGGTCTCCATCTTGAATCTGCTTTTCCCTTTCTTAAAATTTAGCTCTTAATAGACAACCGTTTTAAATTACATTTATTATTTCTCTTTCTCTCCCACCCCACCTCCCATGTGTCCAGGTGTGTGCACGCCATGACACAACGCAGGCCAGAGGACATCTTCTGGAAATAGGCTCTCCCTTTCCACTATGACAGGTCGTCAGGGCTGAGCAGCCAATGGTATTGCTCGCTGAACCAACTCACTGGTCCCAGGCCTTAATCCTGATCAAAATGTGAAGGCAAGAAGATAAGGCTAGTGAGTTCAAGACCAGCCTGGATTACATGCGGCCTGTCTCAAAACAAACAAGAAGATGTTTCAAAATTCAAATTTAGGGATTTACAGCTGGCCAACATTCACTTGGTAAAAATAAAGTCTCTCAGCTGTATGTAAAAGAGACACGAAAGCAGTTTACTGGTATGAACACCCAAATCTTGTCAGAGCCCTGTCCTGCCCCTTCATGTGTGTGACTGCACAGTGTCCTCCAGATTCCTTGGGTGCTGTATGTTCTGAAAGCCTGGATTTCAGGTCAGTTCTCCATTTTGGTCCCCTCACCTCAGCTCAAAGCCCATGAACCACCTAAGGCTGGTTCCTCAAGATGTCCTCATTATAGCTGCCCTTCCAGAAAACACGAGCCCACTGCGGACATGGGGATATCGGATCAGAAACAAATCCATGGGGAACCCTAAAAAATGCCACTGCTCACATATGTAACTCAGGATCACTTGCCAGGGGCAGTGCCCTCCAGACTGGGCTGGGCTCTTGAGAGACATGAGTGTCAATCATTACTGAAGAAATGGCTGCCGAGACTTGCCTACAGGTTACCTGATGGAGGTACTTTCTCAATTAGGGTTCTCTCTTCCCCAATGATCCTGGCCTACGTCAGGATGACAAAAACTAAGCAGCACAAGCATCTTCAGGCTAGGGTGCAGATCAGTGACAGAGCATGGACTCTCCATGATGAAGGTCCATGGGCTTTGGTGATATCATGGAAAACATAGCTACTTCCAAGATCAAGGCCCTGGGTCCAGTTCCCAGCACCAAAAATAAACAAACAAAGCCACCTCCAAGCCATCCGCCCACACATACTAGTTGCCTACAATGAGCCACAAAGCAATTTCCAGTTGCCCATGACCTTCTGTTTAGTGTTTAATGCATGTGGTCCATCACCTCAAAGACACAGGAGACACTGCACATTTGAATAAATGAGCCTCACATTCTTTTCCTTAAGTAAAGAGCATCTCTCCAACTTCCCCCGATTAGAAAAATGACAGAATAAAGTATTAATACATACATATTAATATATGTACATACAACATAAACCATACACATAAATATACACTTAAAGAAATTTGAAAATTAGGGCCAGTGATGGAGCACACATTTGAAGTCCCTGCAATCGGGAAGCTGAGGCAGGAGGATCATGTGTTTAAAGCCAATCTAGAATACATAGCAAGAACTTGTCCCCAAATAAGTGAATAAACAAACCAACAAATAAATGAATAAATTTTTAATAAATTTTCTGTGTTTAAAAATTAATATTATTTGTATTGACAAGTCATAATTATATGCATTTATGGGGTGTGGATTAAAGTTCTGATCTATGCGTATAGTGTGAAATGCTTATGTCTGCACAGTCTTATAGGTGTTTGTATGTATTAGATGTTTGTCTGTATGTCTGTCTGTGTACCACATGTACATGTCTGATGCCTTTGGAGAACAGAAGAGGGCATTGGATGCTCTGGAACTGTAGTTATGGTTGGCTGTGAGCCACCACATGGGTTTTGGGAACTGAGCAAGGGTCCTCTGGAAGAACAATCAGTGCTTTTAACTGCTGGGCATCTCTCCAGTCCCGTTTGGTTTTTGAGACAGGGCTTACTATATAAGTCTAACTGGACGTAGACTCCCTGTATAGACCAGGCTGGCCTCACAAGTGCCGCAAGACTCCTGCCCCTGCCTCCCAAGCGATGTGATTACAGTGCAGTCCATCATCGCAGCTAAACCAGCACTGCCCTTTATGGCTTGAACTTAGAGAAGGTGTGGATGGTTTATTATTATTAACCATTTAATTCCTAGAAATGAAAACAGAAGGAAGAAAAGTGACAATAAGCAAGAGGGACACAGAGAGAAGACACGCAGAAGAGAAGAGGGAAGGGTGGAGGGAGGATGAGAGAGCCATGGTACTGACTGAACTCACAGCATGCAGAGGCAAGCCTACGGACAGCAGTGTTTCCTCTGCCTCCTGTAGCACAGAGAATGGTAGCAGCCGCTAAGGAGAAGAGCGTCTGAGCCAGAAAACACAAACTCAGAGCCTAACTTACTGATCAATTTTGGATTCTGTGATATTTCCATCTTCGTCTCTCAGTTTGATTGTAATGAACCCTCTTCTTACGCTCTTGTTCCAAGATACGATGTCCACAAAATAATGATACACTGTAAAATGGGGAGAGAAGCCCATAAGAGGGGAACCCTGGTGCTCCCCAGGAGGGTCGGGTCTGGGCCAAGATCCCTTTCTCCCTATCTAGAGTTTCAAGAATGACCTTGAACTTCACACACACACACATACCCCACCTCTGTTTCCCAGATGCAAGAATTATAGGTGTGTGCCACTACACTGGACCACAGCTTTCCTATTGTTTCTTGCTCTTCTCTTTGGTACAGATGACAAGAGTGACAGCCATCAGTGCTGGCCAGTGACCATGGGCAGGACCATGGAAGCCTGTCTCATAGTCTGGCAGACATGTTCAACCTTTTGACTCTTCTGCAGAGTTAATGCTAGAGAACCCTATAATCAAGTTAACAAAAAAAAAAAAAAAAACCCACAAAATTATCTCTGATGTTTTAAATGACCTTACTATCATTTTGGGTTGGGTTGTTCTTGCAGATAGTGGTCTAATTTAATGTTTTCCTGACATTACTTCTCAACACACCAGTATCACTTTGGGAGAGCTTTACACTGTACTGTGGTGGAATGTTTGGTTTTAAAAATCATTGTCTGAAGGCTGGCAAGATGGCTCCCTGCAAAGGCACTTACTGACAATTCTGAAAACCTGAATTCGATTCCTGGAGCCCCCTTGACACAAGGAGAGAATGAATTCCTTCAAGCTGTCCTCTAACCTCCACCCACAGGCTATTCCAGACCCCCCCACACACACACACACACACACAAACGTGCACATGCATGTGCACATACATACACATACACACATGCACACATGCACACACATACATATATACATACACACACACACACACAGAGTTAAAAAACTGAATTGTTGACTTGAGTTTTATTTGTAAAAGGACCAATGTTCGACTCCTAGCATCCACATGGTGACTCAGAGTGACTCTCACTCACTGAAGGGATCTAGAACTCTCTTGTGACATCTGCGGGTACTGAGCACATGGCACACATGCAGGCAAAATACCCATGCACATAAAACAGAGAAATAAGTTTTTGGTTTTTCTGGTTCTTGTTTTTATTTAGATAGGGTTTCCCCTGTGTAGCTTTGGCTGTCCTGGAACTCACTCTGTAGACCAGGCTAGCCTTGAACTCAGAGACCCACCTGCCTCCGCCTCTTGATTGCTGGGATTAAAGGTGTGCACCATCACTGCCCAGAAGATAAAACAGTTTTTAAGAAGCAATTAAAGGAATTCTAGCTTGTGATTAGAACAGAGTTTCAAGAATTTTCTGATACACTTTCTGCCAGTTTGCTCTGCTTATTCATGCAAAGCAATATACTCACTGATTATTATAAAATTAGAATGATGGTCAGCTCTGTAAAACACCAATGATGTCCTGTATCAAGCAGTATCAGGTGTTTAGCCAAACATTAGCTCCTTATGGAAAATAAGCAGGCACATCTATCTCATCAGAATACATGTGCTGTTGTCCTTAATAAATGGTAAAATTATACATATATGCCAAATAATTATTTTAAAATAATTTTCTTTATGATTTATTTTTAGTAAATATTTTATTTCTGTATTGGTTTTATACATCTATATATCTGGGGGTGTTTGAAATATTCACAGGCTGACTCCCTGGGAGCCCACGGGCCACTCTGGTCAGAAAAACAGGTACGCTAACACCAGCTCTTTACCTTGCCCTCAGCTGTCCCAACTCCAATCACCCCATCCCATCCCTGTCTCTACAGCAGACCACCTGCTGCTGAGGGCTCCCCTTCTCCTCCTGCTGCAATCTTTAGGGGACTACACAGGTCTTCCCCTCCTGACCTCCTTCCCCTCAACTCCAGCAGGCATGTCCTGGGATCCCACAGGCCTTTCCTGCCAGGGAAACAGGTAGGCTAACTGCAGATCTTTACCTCTCCTTCCGTCCCTCCAAGTCCACTCCCTGTCTCCCCATCTCATCCCCAGCTCTGCAGCAGAAACTGCTAACCAAGCAAATGGAAAACCTAAGTGGCCTTTTTGTCCTTAGTTACCCTAATGTAACATGGAAAATGGATACACAAAGAAATATTTTTTGTGTCATGTTCAAAGCCTTATTAACACTTTGCCTGAAATAGGTCATTTGCCTGATCCATTTGTCAAAGCAGCCAATTCCAAATTAAGGAAGCTTTGGTGTAGGCTGACAATATTCTTGTATTTTATTTTAGATTGTAAGCTTAATGGCAAGAAATTATATCAATAGTTGGGCTTTTTATGTAGCAACCATTGCTGTATACTTTTAATAAATATTCATAATTATTCAAAAAAATAAAAAAATAAAAATGTCAAATCACTGCTTTAGGAATCAGTGGGATTAACAGTAAAAACGTCCATCTTACAAAAATAATCTACAGATTCAGTGAAAATCACATCAAAATTTCAGCAAAATTATTTGAAGATCTTGATAGGACAATTTTCAGCTTCCTATGGAAACACACAAACACCCCAGGATCAGGATAAGAGCTAGATGTGGTGGTGCACACCTTTAATCCTAGTTCTTGGGAGGCAAGAGTCAGGCAGATCTCCGAGTTCAAGGCCAGCCTTGTCTACAGATTGAGTTCCAGGACAGCCAGGATTACACAGAGAAACCCTGTCTTGAAAAACAAAACAACAACAACAACACAAGCAAAACATACAAAAACAGATGGCTAAAATCTGAATATTCAGTTAATTAAAAGAACTGCTAGAGGGATCACCATCCATAATTTCAAGCTTTACTACAGAGCTATAGGAACAAAACAGCATGACACTGGCACCAAAACAGACACACTGACCAAAGGAATCAAGTTGAAGATCAAGACGTAAGTACTTTCACCTATGGAGACCTGATTTTTGATAAAGAGGCCAGAAATACACACTGGAGAAAAAAAGACAGCATCTTCAACAAATGGTGCTGGTCAAACCAGATATCAGCATGTAGAAGAATGCAAATAAATCCATATTCATCACCCTGCATAAAATGAACTCCAAATGGATCAAAGACCTCAATATAAAACCAGATACACTGAACCTAATGTAAGATAAAGTGGAGAATAGCCTTGAACTCATTAACACTTGTTGTGGATTAGGTCTTTTTTTTCTTTTTCTTTTTCTTTTTCCTTTTTCTTTTTTTGTTTTGTATTATTATTATTATTATTATTATTATTATTATTATTATTTTCCGAGACAGGGTTTCTCTGTATAGCCCTGGCTATCCTGGAACTCACTCTGTAGACCAGGCTGGCCTCGAACTCAGAAATCCGCCTGCCTCTGCCTCCCAAGTGCTGGGATTAAAGGTGTGCGCCACCACCGCCCAGTGGAATACAGGTTTTAGTAAGTAATAAGTAATAACTCAGGAATATCAAAGAGGAGTGTTAGCCATTTAGAGGTTTGGAGGTGGCCCAACCATTGAGCTGTTTAAGGCATATTAAAATATAAAGGCTGCTCCCACTTTTCATTTGGGAACCCAGAACACACCACCGCGGTTGATTTAAGTACCGTAACTGGGTTCAGCTACAGACACAGGAGGGGACTTTCTGCACAGAACACTGTTAGCACAGGCACTAAGATCAACAATTAACAAATGTGATCTCATGAAACTGAGAAGCTTCAGCATGGCAATGACACTGTCATCTGGACAAAGCAGACTACAGAACGGGAAAAGATTTTTTTTTTTTTACCAACTCCACATCCAATATACAAAATGCATAAAGAACTCAAGAAGAAAATAGGTATCAATTTAAAAATTGGGGTACGGATCTAAATAGAATTCTCAATAGAAGAAAGTGGTTAAGAAGTATTTAAAAATGTTTAACATCCTTAGTTATCAGAGAAATGCAAATCAAAACTACTTTGACATTTTCCTTCTTACACCTGTCAGAAGTGACAAGCTTATGCTGTCAGGATGTGTCAGAAGCTCAGGCTGGTGAGGTGTGGAATTAGAACACTCATTCACTGCTTGTGGGACCACAAACCAATACACCTCTATGGGAACAGTGTGATGGCTCCTCAGGAAGATGGGACTCAATCTACCTCGAGATCCAGCTACATCACGCTAAGGCATATACCCAAAGGCCGCTTCACCCTACCTCAAGGACACTTACTCAACTGTGTTCATTGCTCCTCTATACATAACAGCCAGAAAGTTGAAACAACCAAGATGCCCCTCAACACAAAAATGGGTAAAGAAAATGTGGTACATTTGCACAGTGGAATATTACTCAGCTGTTAACACAAAATAACATCATGAAATTTGGAAGCAAATGGAACTAGAAAGAAATCATTCTGAGTAACAAAATTCCAGACCAGAAAGACAATTATGGTATGTGTTTACTTCTATGTGGATATTGGTTGTTAAGTGATGATAGCAAGCTTCAATCCATACAGCCACCGAGGGTAGGTATAGAGTAAGGGACTAAAGCAACAGGTACATCTCATTAGGAAAGGGAAATAAAATAGATAGGTATGGCTGGAGAGGGATGGAATGGGAGGATCAAGTGGAGAAGGGGAGGGGAGAGAGGGATGAAGCAGGGAATATGGGGAAAACAACTAAAATAAATTAAACTACACATATTATCAAATGAAAGGAAGAAGGAAGAGAAGGAAGAAGAAAGAAAGGAAGGAAGGAAGGAAGGAAGGAAGGAAGGAAGGAAGGAAGGAAGGAAGAAAGGAAGGAAGAAAGAAAGAAAGGAGGAAAGAGAGAGAAGAAAGGAAGGTAGCAAGCAAGGGAGGAAGGAAGCAAGCAATGTTCACAGGCCAACGGCCTGTAAATAGCAGGCTCAAGAAGGCCCAGTGTAGGTCAGAATTGATTCACATACAGAATCCACTTCTTTGTCCCTGATCCCAGCCTCATATCTCTTAGAAACAATTTCCTGGATGACAGCCCAGTGATGACAGTGACTGTGCTGGGATGCTGACACTCTGGCTTAGCTTTACTTCAGTCCTAATAACCTAGACAGCAGGTGTGATTGGCTCCATTTACCAAACTGGCCTGTGACACTCAGAAGGGAGAAGAAACTTGACCAAGGTCACACAAGTGTTCCGGACAGAAGCTGTGTTGCTCTCGGGCCTTTGAGCTCCATAGCTCTATCTAGCATAGTCCTCATTCTCCAGGAAGCACCCAGAAAGCTGAGACTCTGTCCTCTCCAGAATGCCAGGGTCATACAGTACACACAACACAGTTACCACTCACTGCAGTATGGTTTTGTCTCAGCCGTGTCGAAGAACGCCTTTGTCATCGGAGGATCTCTGTCCCATAAGTACTCTTTCCAGTTGTCGGCATAGTAGCCTACAAAACAAGTCAGAAACACCAATCAGTATTGTATAAACATGAAAGCCACAGAGGAAGCGAGAACAGTTCCTTACGTTTGTAACAACTCCCTCCTGCTCCACCTCCAGTCCCCACTACAATGACTGAGGCCGAGAAGGGCCATGGAGAACATCTTATCACACTCTCCCCTCTTGCTGGCTGTCCCCATCCTAAGAACTGGGGTGCAGAATGACTCTACTGTGACTTCTCCCCTTACTGTGTCCTCGGTAGCTAGGTGGGGAACCAGAGCAGACACACTGGTCATGTGGCTAGTTTTCAGCAATGCCTTCATTTTCAACATTAAGCCAGATTGAGACCCATACTTAAAGCAGCACCGCTATTGCAGAGCAACAGGGTCTTGTTAGTCTTATTCTGAAAATGGAGTCTTAGACATGCAAAGCGTGCTGTACTCGTTACCACACGATTCTCTCCCTCCCTCCCTCCCTCCCTCTCTCTCTCTCTCTCTACTGCTAGAAATCATTTCAGGGTCTGAAGCATGCTAGGCAGGCAATCTACTGCTGAGCTGTAGCCAGAGTCCTTCCGTTTTACTTTTTATTTTGATACAAAGTCTAGCTGGCCTTGAACCCATGTGGAGGGATTATTTTGTTTTTGTTTTTAATATAGTTTTGGAGATAGGACCTTCCTCATACTCACCTTGCCAAATGCCTAGGATTATAGGCCTGTCAGGGGTCTCAGAGGCCCAGGGTTAGGCCTGTGGGGGGGGGTCTCAAAGGCCCAGGGTTAGGCCTGTTGGGGGTCTCAGAGGCCCAGGGTTAGGCCTGTTGGGGGTCTCACAGGCCCAGGGTTTTCTTGAAAAATTAAACTGGAGCTGATGAAGTGCATAGGTCACGGGCTCGATGTGCAATTGTGTCACTGAGCAGATAAATGTCTCCCACCAGGCCAATGCCTGAAGGAGACACATCTGAACTCTGCCCAGTGAAGCCTCTTTCTGTCTGTCTGGAAAATGGCTTTTAATCACCCACCAATCCTGAAGTCCTAACTACTTATAATACTTCCTCTACTTCTATGGAAAACACCTCAGTGGTCTCTATGGTGCCTTGTGTGTGGATTCAGGAGCCAGAATGTAGAGGGAAAGCATTCAGAGACACAACTTGTTGAAAGAGATCAGTCTGCAAGGCTCAGCCCTGGGCCTGGTCTCCAGCTCACTGGACTTCCCCTAGCAGAGAGGCTAGGCAGATGGTAACTGTCGTTTCTTTTGGCTTTGGTGTGTGTGTGTGTGTGTGTGTGTGTGTGTGTGTGTGTGTCTGTGTGTGTGTGTCTGTGTCTGTGTCTGTGTGTGTCTGTGTATGTTTTGTGTGTGTGTGTGTGTTATTTTAATATTGTTCTTGAAAATAGGGTCGTTCTCTTTAGCCAAGACTAGCCATAGACTCAACTATCCCTGCTAACCTGTCATGCCCTAAGCTAATACACTCTGTAGTTCAGAGAACAAGTTGGCTAGGAAAAGCTGGTTATAATGTTTAGCATGTGGTACACTCTTGCAATGCCTGCTACTCTGGAGACTGTGGGAAGAAGGTCTCAAGGTCATTGCTAGCCTGGGCTACAAAGTAAACTCAACCCAGCCTAAGCAAAATAGAAAGACCTTATGTCAAATACTAACTAAATAAAACTGATTATCTAAAAACTTGAGTAAATACAATTTGAGGCAAATTTCAGAGGGCAAATGACTCTGGGAACTGAAAACGAATTAACTGTGCATTAGAGATGGGAACTTAGGGGGCTTACCCAGGCGGGGACAGGACACAACTTGCCCAGCACCACAGCTGACACACTTGCCGTTCCTATAATCCCGATAGGAGTCACAGGGATAGGCCGTGATGGAGCAGTTATTTTGCAGGGATGCAAGGTACAGGAAGACGGACATCTGGTGGTCACACTTGAAGTACTTTATACCTTGATTATAAAGGAACCAAGAGCAGTTGCAGCATTTACCAGAAAAGCACGGTTCACATTTTATACAATCACACCACAGCTTCCGAGTTCTCAACTCCACCTAATCCTAGGAGAACCGCAGACAGGGATTCACTGTGACCAGTGCAAGGTGGAAAGTAAATCATATACAGGTGATTGTCATAACAAAGGCAAACCTGGGGGTGCAGGGCTGGAGAGGATGCTCGGTGCTTCAGGGTGCTTGCTGCTCTTCCAGAGGACCCCAGTTCAGTTTCAGCACACACACTGGCAGCTCACAACTGCCTGTAACTCTAGCTCCCCGGGATCCAATGCCCTCTTTTGGCCTCCACAGACACTCATGCACAAATGCTCACACACACACACACACTTTAAAAAGAAGGGAGGTGGAGAGCTGACAGTGCTTGCTTAGTATGCACAAGACACTAAATTCAATCTCCAGCATTACTAAAAGGGAGGGCTGCAGAGATGGCTCTGTACAAGCATGAACACCTGGGTTTGGATCATCATCACACTGGAAAACCCAGCAGCACGGGTCTGTGACCCTGGCCCTGGAGATGTAGAGACAAGTGGCTCCCAGGGGGTTGCTAGGCAACCAGTCTAGCTTAGACAGGGAGGTTCATGTTCCATAAGAGACTCTGCCTCAAAAACCAATATGAGGAATGACTAAAGAAACCATCCTCTGGCCTCTACACATGTATGCACAGGGACAAGGACTCGTAGGCCAATCACCCCCACTCATGCATATATATATATATATATATATATATATATATATATATATATATTACCATCCAATGTTTGAGCAACAGATTATCCTCACCGTATTTATACTTGATGAAATTCAGGACTCAGGGCCACCCCCAAATACTACTGACTTAAAGGAGGCTGAGGAGCTGGGACCACTCCTTGCCCCCAGTACACCTGTGAATCTGAAGGACTTCAAAGCTCTGGTCTAATTGGTAAGGTCGCTGCACAGACTAAGTAACTACTGTGTTCATTACTCAAGTTGACAACCATGCTCGCAGACAGTGCTACTCAAAAGGTCACCAGAAAGTGACTTTCCATCAAAATCATTATCCAAAGAGTAACTCAGGGCCAGCAAGATGGCTGAACAAGCAAAGACACTTGTCATCAAGACTGATGACCTGAATTCCAACCCTGGGTCCCACATGGTGGAAGGAGCTAACTGAGTTCCACAAGCTATTTTCTAACGTCTGGGCACACCTGACCACACACATACATCTTTTAAAAAATGTAATAAAAATCTAAATTAGTCATTAATTTTTTCCTTATCTATTATTTAGAGGAAGAGTGAAACAAAACAGGCCTTGGTCGTGAATTTGCCTTACTATTTGGGAAATCGTTAACAGAAACAAAATTTGAAAAGTCAACGTAAAGACCCATTATGAACATATCCACTCTGATAAACCTATTCTGTTACCTAACCTCCCACCCCGATACAGATTCCCAGGTTGTTTGAGACAGGATCTCAATGTGTTAAACTAGCCCCAACCCCATAGTCCTCCTCCCTCTGCCTCTTGAGTGCTAGAATCCCAGGAGTACACCAACACATCCGGCCAGCTTTTGAGCTCCCAAAAAACTGACCATTCACCATTAAATATCAACATTAGTTCTAATCAAGAACTACTTTCTAGGTGTGGAGAGTTGTCTCAGTGATTAAGAGCACTTAACTGTTCTTGCTGTTCTTCCCAAGGACCTGTGTTTAGTTCCTAACACCCATAGCAGGCAACTCACAGCTACCTGTAACTCCAGCTCTAGAGAATCTGACCCCCTCCTCTGGCCTGTGAGGATTCCACACACACACACACAGACACACACACAGAGACACACACACAGACACACACACACACATAGATACACACATATACATAAATAATTTTTAATCATTTTAAAAAATATTGTTCTCTCCTTTATAGAATAACTGTAGTTCCTTTGTAAATGAGGCCTACTTCAGTCACTGTTGTAGACTCTAGAAGGCTGCCAGGCATATGTCTACTAGAGTGTGGTAGATGGTGAGAAAGCATAATTTACACTATTCCGCTGAGTGTTGGAACCTCTTCCTACTCAGAGTTAAAATGAAAGTTATGTGAGGAGTTTCTGAAATCTGTCACTGGCCAGCACTGACAACACCAGCAACTCCAAAGGTCAAGGGCCAGAGAGTAGCTCTTATCATGGCCACAGTGCTCATTCATTGTCAAAGGTAAAAGGGGACTTCTGGGAAGACAGCACACTAGAGCAGCCTCTGTGTGACTCACTGAAGGAGACAGAGAATAAGGAAAACAAACCCCAGGCTCAGGCATGGCGGTACACACTTGTAATCCTAACACTTAGGAGAAGGAAGCAAGAGGGTCAGGAGTTCAAGGTCATCCTCAGCTACTAGTGAGTTGGAGCCCAACTTAAGCTGCAAGAGGAGAATCTGTCCAAAACGAGAAAAGACAAAAGACAGAAAAACAGACTACTTCAAAGAGAGAAAGAGGGTCAGAAGCTCAGAGAAATGTGGCTCAGATGAAGGACTCTCTGAAACAGTGTCAAGCTGGCCAGGCAATGGTGGCACTCACCTTTAATTCCAGCACTCTGGAGGCAGAGGCCAGTGGATCTCTGAGTTCTAGGCCAACCTGGTCTACAGAGCTAGTTCCAGGACACAGAGACACTACACAGAGAAACCCTGTCTCCAAAACAAAACCAACCAGCCAAACAAACAAACAAACAACAACAAAAAGAATGATGCTAAGTCTTCATCATGTGTAATGAGAAAATCCCCAGGAAGCCAAGAATCCTTAAGAACAATTCTTGCAGGAATGGGAGAGGGGTGAAAAAGGGGAACGGGGTGAGAGGGAAATTTTTAATTGTGTAATTGGACAAAACCACCAAACAAACAATATAAAAAAAATAAAAATAAACTTGATGAAACTATGACTGTGTCAGATTTGAGGTAACACATAGCTATGTTCCTAGGCCTTGATCATTGTATTTGGCTTCAAAATAAACTATCTTGCATGGTGGTGTTCACATATGCCTTTAATCTCAGTACTCAGGAGGTAAGAGGTAGACAGATCTCTGAGTTCAAGGCCAGCCTGGTCTATACAGAGAAACCCTGTCTCGAAAAATATAAAATAACAAACAAAAAGACGCTATCTCTTACTCTTTCTGAGTGAGAGCTTAGTTGTTCATTGACAAGGATTATCATGAGTTTGAGGCTAGCCTGAGCTATATCATAAACACCAGAGCTACCAGGGCACTCTGGGCCACAGAGTCTAAGACAGAACAAAAGAAGGAAAAAAAGGAGGTGGAAGAAAGAGACTGAAGAGCTGGCTCAGTGATAAAGCACTGTTGTTCTTCCAGAGGACCCAAGTTCAGTCCCCAGCACCCACATCAGACAGCTGCCTGTAACGGAGCTCCAGGGGATGTGTTTTAAGTCCTATGAGCATTGCCTTGCTGGAAGTGGCCTCAAGTGGGCACCAATAGGCAGCAACTGTGAGAAGAAAGGCATTCTAAGATTGAGGGCCTCAGAAGCATGTGGCCTGGCAGATGGCATCCAGGACAGATGTACTTAGCTGGTTCCCAGCAATTCTTCCCATTTCCAAAGTGAAATCTGAAGCCAGAAAAGCAGATTAAATATTAAAGGGAGAAGAAAACTAGATGCTTGTGACACAGCCTGGGGAGAGTTTCAGGGATCTCCAGGGATCAGGGACCATTGAAAGGTTAGTGTCTCAGCTGGTGTCTCAGAACACAGAAGGGAAGAATGTCCCAGGCTTAGTGGGACCTAGCACTGGGGTCTTGGGAAAGACTGAGTTGAGAGAAAGTTCTCGAACTCAACCTCCTTACTGGCAAAGCCATGTGTATAGAAACAGAAGACGTGAGTGAAACATGGGGAGGTAGAAGCAGAAAAGATGCCCATGGTGCATGTGTCTTTGGGGGAAAGGGAAAAGGTAAAGATACGTGAAAGGGCAAGGCTTCATGGGTAGTCGGAGTCCCTACAGGTTATTGCCGGAAAAACAAATTAAGTTGAATTCACTAGAGAGAAAAAGGGGGTCATCAAGACAATCCAGATGGCAAAGTGCTTGCCTGCAAGCAAGAGGTCCTGACATAGATCCCCAGAACCCACATTTAAAAAGAGGCTTGGTTAGCCGGGCGGTGGTGGCGCACGCCTTTAATCCCAGCTCTTGGGAGGCAGAGGCAAGCAGATTTCTGAGTTTGAGGCCAGCCTGGTCTACAGAGTGAGTTCCAGGACAGCCAGGGCTACACAGAGAAACCCTGTCTCGAAAAACCAAAAAAAAAAAAAAAAAAAAAGAGGCTCGGTTAGGGGCCGGAGAGATGGCTCAGCAATTAAGAGCACTAGCTGATCTTCCAGAGGACCAGGGTTCAATTCCCAGGACCCACAGGGCAGGTCACACCTGCCTGTAACTCCAGTTCCAGTGATCTGACTCCCTCAGACAGAAATATATGCAGGCAAAGAACCAGTGCACATACAACAAAATTTTATAAAAATTGAAAAAAGTTAAAGATCATAATAATTTAAAATACCACTAAAACATAACAAAAATAGGCTTGGTGACATGCACGTATAATCCCAGCACTTGAGAGGCAGAGCCAGGCAGATTTCCAGGTTTCACTGGCCAGCCTGCCTAACCAGAGAACCCAGAGTAGTGAGATACCTATCTCCAAAAGCAAGGGGGTGGACCTTGTGAGAAGGCTCACTGAAGGAAGGAACCTGCTGCACAAGCCTGATGCAGTGGTACACATCCTACTGCACAATGAGGGTCAGAGACAGGAGGATCGCCAAGAAAACCACAATCCAGCTAGCCTAGGACGCCCAGGTGCAACACATTACCTCGAAAACAAGTGGAAGGAGGGAGCTGACACCTCAAAGTTATCCTGACTTCCACCTGCACACTGCAGCAGGTGCACACCCATACTCACACACACCACACACACACACACACACACATACACGCACACCTAATACACACACACCAGATACAGACATATACCACATACACACACGCACTACACACAAACACATGACACACACAGCATACCACACAAACTCTATACATACACAGCATGCCATACTACACACATACACACCACACACATACACTACACAGAACACACATGAACACACACACTATACACATACAGACCACACACATGCACACACACCACATGCACACACACCACATACCACACACATACCACACACAAGCACATACACATACATTTCATACACACACTCTGTGTGTGTGTGTGTGAAATGAAAATAAATTATTTTTTTAAGAAAAGCTCGCTGGGTGGTGGTGGCGCACGCCTTTAATCCCAGCACTTGGGAGGCAGAGGCAGGTGGATTTCTGAGTTCGAGAGTTCGAGGCTAGCCTGGTCTACAGAGTGAGTTCCAGGACAGCCAGGGCTACACAGAGAAACCCTGTCTCAAAAAACCAAAAAAAAGAAAAAAGAAAAGAAGAAAAAAAAAAGAAAAGCTCCTGGACCCTGTATCAAATAACAAGATGGATGGCTCCTGAGAACTGTCATGTGGAGCTCTGGCCCACAAAAAGTCCACTCACACAAAAAGTACAAAAGGAAGAAGAAAGGCCATTAGGAAAACAGAACACCAGGGAATGACTCCAAGGAGGGCCACAGATGGCCACTTTGAGGAGGGCTGGAAGGTGAAAGGTGCTAATCCTTCGGACAAGGTGGGCTTACACAGAACGGCTCTTCAGTGGTATGGCAGTCTGAATAAGAAAGGACCCAGTAGGCTAATATATTTGAATATTCAGTCACCAGCTACTATTTGAAAGGATTAGAAGGATTAAGAAGTATGGCCTTGTTAGAGGAAGTGTGTCACTGAGGGAGTGACTTTGAGGTTTTAAAAGCCCACACCAAGTCCAGAGTCTCTCTCTCTCTCTCTCTCTCTCTCTCTCTCTCTCTCTCTCTCTCTCTCTCT